GTGAAAACACTTAGAATTTACTGCTAAACTGCTGCAAACTGCGCAGAAAAGTGTTTGAAAACAGTTAGAATTCACATTTACAGAGCTGTCAATTGTGAAGGAAAGTATTTGAAAACACTTAGAATTCATTCTTACCGCATTGGATTTCAGTAAACTGCTTCACCATAGTTATAATTACTAAATGATACATATCCTAATTGTGTTATGAATGCTCCAGCAAGCTCCCCAAGTAGAAATTATATTACAGTATTTCACTGAAGTTAATAGCTTTCCACACACTGGGTTAATCTATGTATTCCTTCTAAGTGCGGACCATCCTACCAATAGATAAAGCATGTATTACTCTATGATAACACATAAAAAATATATTCATAAACACTACTAGCTAACTCTGTCTGGAACACTCTCATGTTCACGTTTTAAAAAGCTACGCGTTTGCGTAAGAAAGTGTTTCAAAACACGTGGACTCCTGGTTTTAAAGAGAGGGCATTGTGTAGAAAAGTGTTTGAAAACACTGTATTCTTGATTTAAGAGTTGCTTCTTGTTTAGGAAAGTGGAGCAGTTGGAATTCTTGTTTTAAGGAGGGTGTTTTGTGTAAGAAAGTGTTTGAGAACAAGTAATAATTACTGTTTTAAAAAGTGCTCATTGTTTAAAAACCTTATTGCACTTAATCCCACACTATCATGCTGTTCTCAGAATTTCCACAAGAGGGCTCTGTTGCACCTAATCCCATACTAGGATGCTGTTCTAAAAAAAAAAAAGAAGACAAAAAAGAAAAAATATCCTGGGATGGGGATTAAAAATTAAAATAAACAAACAATAACCAAAAAACTACTAAAATTATGTTGATGTTTAAAAGCTCCAGTTGACAGCCTTGCTTCTCAAGTCATTACTTCTGGTTGTGTATACTTAATGTCTTTTCCCTCCAGGGATAATTCTTTGTAGAGATTTTAAAATTTTGTATCTTAATTTTATTTGTAATGACTCGGTATCAGAGGCCAGCAAACTACAGCCTATAGGATAAATACTACCCGTTGTCTTTTTCTGTAAATAAAGTTTTATTAGAACACAGGTACGCCCACTTGTTTACATATTGTCTAAGGCTGCTTTTGTGCTACAGAGGCTGAGTTAATTAGTGGTGACAGAGACCATCTGGGCCCTCAACGCCTACCATATTTACTATCCGGGCTTTTGCAAAACATGTTTGCTACCACTGCTGGAAAGCAAGTACTGGGGACCAGAATAGCACAGGTATTTCATAGCCTGTACTAAGTCTCTGGTGTTTGTTAATACCTGCTCTATGTAAGCTCGCTGAGAGGCAAGGATTATGTCTATCTAGTTCCTTATTTTTTCCCCAGGGGCTGGACACAGAGATGAGCACATGGAATACAAGTAGCAAATACTTGTTGAATGAATAAAACAAGTTGCTAGATAGATTTTTAGTTCTTGGGGGCCATTAAGTAGGTTTCAGTCTTGAGTCTGAACCTGACTCCTAGTAAGCTTTCAATAACTGTATGTTTGCTAACGGATCCATGGCACAGGCTCTACATTTGGAGAACGAATGGATTTTGCAGGACATTGAATGACCAGGACAAATCCTTGTCCATATGCTGATGAATCTCTTCTCTGCCACATTCCTTCCTCAAATTTCACAAAATCCTCGCTGCATCAAGACCTGGTGGCTGATGCTGGCTCTGAGGGTGCTCACATCTCATTGATTTGCAAGCTGGGCCTCCACCCTGCAGAATCCATCTGAGCTTCACCACGTGACTCTCGACAGCCTGCAGGGGCTCCGTGGGTGTGCTCAGCCCAGCATCTATCCCCAAGACATGTGGGCATTGGGCCTACTCAGACTTGCATACAAGAGAAACCAGCAGCAGAGTGGATTCTGGAAGGACACGGAGGAAAGCACAGAGTGGAAGAGACCTTGGCCTGCCACTCACAAAACGTATTTGTCACTTGGATATGGAAAATGGTTTAATATGAAAGAGAGAGGGCACGGCCGGCATGGCTCAGTGGTTGAGCATTGACCTATGAACCAGGAGGTCACGGTTTGATTCCCGGTTAGGACACATGCCCAGTTGCAGACTCCATCTCCAGTAA